GCGCAACGACATAGATTAAAAAAAGGAAACGAGAGGTTCCCAGGTGTAAATGAAATAATAAAAAAATATGTAAACGGGAAGGGAATTTCTTCTCCGGACACCGATGAACGAAAGAGAAAAGGAATAATGAACGCCCTTGGGAAATCACAGAAAACGACAAGAATGACAGATTTAAAATCACAAACATTTATTTACAAATTATACAAATAGAAAAATTGCCAAAAATAAAATATATACTTAATGGGGAGGGGAATAGGAAATTACTAAAATAATCTATCAGGTTATCCCATAAGTTCTGTCCGGATTTTGAATAAAGAAAACAAGTGACCAAATGTTACATTTAATTACAGATTCAATCAACAATGTATTTTCCCTGATTATCTATGAGTTCCTTCCATCTATTAACAAGCTTACTAATTCCATTACTGTAAAATTCTTTTAGCTTTGATTCGAAGAACTCACAAATGTCAGTTTTAACCTCTTCCTGTGTTATAAAAGCTATTTCTTCCAAATGATTCTGTAAGCTACGAAACAAATGGTAGTCTGAAGGAGCAAGATTGGGAGAATAAGGTGGATGAGAAATTTTCTCCCAACCAAGTTCTTCGATCTTTTGTGATGTGATTCTTGCTGTGTTGGGTCGCGCATTGTCCTGATGAAACATCACCCCTTTTCGATTCACAAGAGCAGGTCTTTTTTCCTCAAATCTTGGTTCAAACTCTCTAATTGCTGACAGTATATTTGAGCATTAATTGTTGCATTAGGTGGTAAGAATCCAAAGGTGATTATTCCTTGGCGATCCCACCAAATTGAAAGAAGAACCTTTTGCTCATGAACTTCCCTTCTCGGCTGTGGCTGGGGTCTTTCCCTTTTACCAAGCCACTGTCTACGACGCTTAACATTTCGATAAAAGATTCATTTTTCGTCGCCAGTCACAAGTCTATCCAAAAAAGATGAAACAAGTTGGCGAAAATGGAGAGAAGAGCAGGTGTCAACTCGGGATTTGAGGTTGTTTTCAGGCAATTCATAAGGCACCCATTTTCCAAGTTTAGGAACTTTTCCAAGTTGTTGAAGATGACGATGAACAGTTGTATGGTTTGAACTGAGAACCACTGCCAATACCTCAACTGATAAAGCAGGATTTTCTTCAAGGGCTGCTTCAAGAAGCTTTTCATCAAACTCAACTGGACGTCCGGTTCGATCTTCATCTTCGAGGGTGAAATCTCCACCTCTGAATTTTGCAAACCATCTTCTGCAAGTTCTTTCATTCACACATTCCTCTCCATAAACTGAGTGAATGTTTCTAGCCGCTTCGCCTGCTGAGTTTCCTTTCTTGAACTCATAAAGCATTATGTGCCTCAAATGATTCTTGGGTTCTTCCATGTTAGGGTTTTAATCAGACAAAATTTAATTTTATTGTTCTCTGAAATAAAATTTGATCAGTTTAAATGCATCTAAACATGAAAATAATGTTCAGCTCCATTAGACATTATAAAAGACTCTTTAAATTTCGTTCATTTTAACAAAAAGTTAAAATTCGGACAGAACTTATGGGATGACCTTATATATGTGCGACTACCGAGCATATAAAACCTATATATATTTTAATCAGTCCACAAAGACAATACAAAGGCATTCACTTTCATTAGAACAAAGGGGTCACACATGGAGTCGTCAGCTCGAAGTTCAACGTAAATACAAAACAATTATTCTCCATAAGGGAATATAATGTACCAATTCAGAGTCTCTTATTCTTTCACTTGTGACAGGCGTAAATCTTTCGTCTCTCGGAAGTTGTCGAGGCAATGAAGTCTTTCTCCTCAAGAAATTCATTCACTTAGGTTTCTTTTTTTTTCTTATCTTCTGTTTTTCTTCTTCTTGTCTTCTTCTTCAATCAATCTTTAATACTCGCAGTGAATTTTTCCGCGGGCATTTTTTTCTTCCATGAAAACAACCAGTGGTTTTTCTTGCATACATTTATGTTGCAGTATTTCCTTACGGGCTTGTCATTCGCGGGTATACACCATATTTTTTCTACGATACTCTCATCTACGGAGACTGAGTTTAATGCGTGTGCTATAGTAAGCGTAAAATGTTTCTACTAAAATTACTTGAGATGTGAAACGTACAATCAACATGGATATATATTTCTATATTCAAAATGTCGCTCGCTCTCTCTCTCTCTCTCTCTCTATATATATATATATATATATATATATATATATACACCCACACCGGGTATCAAAGATATCTTACTGGAATTTTCCGTGGTTTTTATAACAGTATTAGATTCTACTTTGCGCAATAAGAATCTATAATTCCTTTCCAAGCTTAATAATAGAATCGTGATGAAATCGATCATAAATGAAAATGACATGTTCATCATTAATTAATCATAGCTAAGGATCGGAAGCTCATTGGAAATAAACTTCAAATATATATATATGATATTTCAGGATCATTTTCCAACTTACTCACGATGATCCTCGCCCTCTCTAACGTTCTAACTTTCTGTCCTGGAATAACAAGACGTTTCATAGGTTTCACGTACGATTTCATTTTCAATTTTGTTTTCACTGTTCATTGGACTGTCATAGTTGAAACTTCTCTCTCGCGTGACAAATGTCTTATTGAGTATGATCTTTACTAATTGATCTCTTTAGCTTTACGTTGAAATGATGATCCCTCTTCCCGTTGCGACATCCTGACACAATTTTCCTCTCTACTGATCCCTCTTTTTAAAACTAGTCCGAATAAGGTAAATAATGAACTAACAATTATAATAGCTGTTTTTATCCTAAATTATTAAAAACAAAATGGATTTTGAAATGGTTAACCGAAAATGCTCGATTAACAAATCTGAACAGTTTTTACATATATTAACAAATTAATTCCGTTCAATTTTAATGCCGTTCAATTCGAAAGAAGCCCAAAATATTAGAAACCATTCCCAGTTTATTGTGTTTAATTTAGCATGAACAAATGAAATATTACTAACGAAGAACGACGCATGAGTTATTGCTGGTAAGTGCATGTATAATGGATAATCCATTTAAGTATAAGCACTTATTATCGTTCATTATATGAAAATCTAGAAATATCCATGAGACACTGCTTTTTACTGTAACTAAAATTTGCACGCAAATAAACGAATATCGGTTAAGAGAATGAAATATGAATACCAAACTCTTGTAAATAAAAATCTAGCACATTGGGGAAAATGGAATTCAAGTTACAAATAAAATTAAGTATATTTATTCATTAGCTTATTTTGAATGCAATATCACATTTTCACCATGGGAATAGGAAATGAATGTAAATACAATTTAAATTTTATATGTATGAAGTCAATATAAAAAACAATTTTTATCCAAATTGAATAAATCACACTCATCCATCACTTTTCATGCAGCCTACTTTAGGGTTGAGCTTTCGATGGCCTCATCAGGTTGAGTTCTATGCTCTGAAGCAGCTTTTAACTGTTACCACATCTTGGCGTGTCTAAAACGTATCCAATGGTTTGAAATTTCGAAAGAATTGCTGAAATGCTGCTACTTCAAATTCTGAGTTCCTTAACTATTGAGATACCGTTATTTCTTACAGTTCCAAAATAAATCACCGAACAGAATGGTTTTTCAAACTTCTACAACCTGTATCTGTCTATATTTCTGAGATGAGGTATTATGTACATTATTTACATTATTAGGACTATTGTCCTTATCTTTGTTGGCATATTTATCACAACGTTTCAGCCCTTCAGTATCTATCTATATTTCTGAGATGAGGTATTATGTACATTATTTACATTATTCGGACTATTGTCCTTATCTTTGTCGCCATATTTATTACAAAGTTTCTTCAGGTGGTTGAAATGTCGAACTTAACCCTTTATTCCGCTCACTGGGGTAGACTGTTCTAGTTCCACGTCCCATGTTTTAATGGATGTCAATTATCAGTTATCTCTTGTTAATTTCCCTCTGAAAGTTCTCCACTTCCTTAACCGGGTATTGAACTCACACTCTTTGGGTCCTGTCACTGAATCTAACCAACGCCTGTATCCACTTGAGAACATCTGTGTATGAATTTCTGGCTATTATAAACCTAATGTCTTCAGCAACCATTTTTACAAGTGCTCATATTGCAATTTTTTGCTGTTATCATTGCATGTTTTTACCAGAGTTCATATTGCAACATTTGTTGTTATTATCGATTTTCTCTGGCAGTCCTTATTACTGGTTCCCATATTGTATTCATTTCTATGCTTGGTCGGCTCAGGAGATTTTTGTGCCCTAGCATATGTGCTGATTCCTTAAGTTTACGAATTTTCCAACGGTGTTCCTTGTCTATGATCTCAACCAGAAATTCATACACAGATGTCCTCAAGGACACATGGCACATAATATAAATAACAGGTTATACAACGGATCCCAGTGCATAAAAATTATAAAACAGTGACAAGACTAAATAAAAGTTGAATGTCGTTCACATCAAATGACGCCAAAAAAAGAAAAAACTCCTCATTCGCTGATTTGTTTGAATTTGTTCTTTATCTTGGCTTACTGTTTCGGCCGATGTGTTTTACAGCTTTCTTCAGTTGTGCAATCTGAAAATAAGGAGAGTTTCTTTTAAAACAGATAGAAGAGATAGTGAACTGACTGCAAAACCAACGGGGTACCATATACAAATTGCCTCAGCAGACAGGCACTCGGATATTATTTAACCTGTTAGCAAGCTTGTCTCGCTAGATCAGTTACAGTTGAGTAGTGAGTTCGATTCTCACTGGGTGCACCACACTTTCGACCATGTGCCACGCTTAAGCTACGCTTACAAAATCATTTGGGCACTACGATGTGGTCTAACGTTTAACAAGCTTGTCACGTTAGATCATTACGACTGAGTAGTGAATTCGCTTCTCACTGAGTGCTCCATACTTTCGACCTTGTGCCACGCCTAAGCTACGCTTAGGAAATCACAATTTCTATAAGACCATACCATTCACTGGAACCTTTACAGAGATTTCAATATTTATATACGCGTCTGTTCTTGAATGGTCTTCTGAAGAAACCAAACTAGGCAAGGCTGAAATACACATCGATTTGATTGGCGCGAAACAGCTTCATTATTGATTCTTGACAAGGATTCTTTTCTTGTTCGGATTCCTCCCCTAAAAGAGGTTGGTTGACAGGCAAGAATGAAGTGGTTGAAAAGTTGTTTTGCTTGTTAAAATTAGGATGATATTTGATCGCTTCTAACCATTTCACGGAAGCTAAATATATATATATATATATATATATATATATATATATATATATAGATAGATAGATAGATAGATAGATAGATAGATAGATAGATAGTGATAGAAGCAGTCCGAAATACAGATGAATAGTCTATGACATAGATGGATACAAACAATCTGAAATACATATGAACAGACTAAGATAGATAGATAGATAGATAGATATGAACAAAATGAGATAGGTAGATATGAACAAAGATTGATAAATAGAAACATTCTGAAATACATATGAATATGCTTTGATATATATGTATACACACACACACGCGTGCACACACACACACATATAGATAAATAGATAGATTGAGAGACACAGACAGATAGATTGATAGATATGACCAAAATGAGATAGATAGAAACAGTTTGAAATACATATGAATATGCTATGATATATATGTATACACACACACATATATATATATATGCGTGTGTGTGTGCGTGTGTCTGTAGATAGATAGATATAGGCAAAATGTGATAGATAGTCTGAAATACCTATGAATATATATATATATATATATATATATATATATATATATATATATATATATATATATATTGGGCACCTCGGTGTGGTGTAATGGTTAGCAAGCTTGTCTCGCTAGATCAGTTACTACTGAAAAGTGAGTTTGATCCTCACTGGATGCCCCTATACTTTCGTCCTTGTGCCACATCTAAGCTACGCTTGGAAAATCTCTCCCTCTCTCTCTCTATATATATATATATACAGATAGATAGATAGATAGATAGATAGATAGATAGATAGATAGATAGATAAAGGAGTGGTGGGAGAGAGACTCCTAAAAGAAAAAACAACATAATGTTTTGGTTGATGCTTAGCTTGGCTGAAGGTGTTGCGGTCTGGACATGGTAAGGGCAACAAAGCATTGGTGTTTGTAAACATTGTTATTTGAAGCTACATGCAGAAGAGATGCGACGTTTCTACACACGTTTTTAGCTTGGCAATTTCTCTCTTGCCTGTTTATTTATTAGACGTCGGCCTTTTCAGTAAGAAAAGAAATCGGATTGATTGAGTCACAGAATTCTAAGTGTTCTGCATTAGGATTTTCTTTTTTTTACTTTTTCTTCTTCTTCTGAGTCTTCTTCTTTATTGGAATCTTCAAGATTTGCTTTTCTTCTTTGTTTCCCATATTTTTTCTTTCACTAAAATGTTTTCTTTTTCTCATCTTTTTTTCCCTCTTTTTTTCTTTTTAAGAACAGCGACGTAGTTTTCATATACAGTGTAACCCGGATATAAGAGACCCGTATATAAGAGAAACCCGGATATAAGAGAGATTTTATCTGGTCCCAAATTAGAGCCTGTGTTAATGTATATAAAATAGACCAAACCCGGATATAAGAGAAACCCGGATATAAGAGACTCCTTCTCCGGTCCAGACAACTTTCTTATATCCGGGTTACACTGTATTGGCATTTGCATACTTTCTTTCCTTTCTTTTCTTTACCTTTTCACTTTAGCTTTTAATATTTTGTCTTTTTTATTGGAATCTGTGAGAGTTTCTGGCTTTCTTCCTTCCTTTCTCTTTCGTTTTCTTTCCCAACTTTTAAAAGCCTTTTTCCAGGACAGAAACGACAGAATTGGCGTTTCTTTCTTTCTTTCTTTTCTTCCTTTCCGCCCTTCCTTGTTACTTGACAGCTCTTTCTTTCTTTCTTTCTTTCTTTCTTTCTTTCTTTCTTCTCCTTTCCGCCCTTCCTTGTTACTTGACAGCTCTTTCTTTCTTCTCCTTTCCGCCCTTCCTTGTTACTTGACAGCTCTTTCTTTCTTCTCCTTTCCGCCCTTCCTTGTTACTTGACAGCTCTTTCTTTCTTTCTTTCTTTCTTTCTTTCTTTCTTTCTTTCTTCTCCTTTCCGCCCTTCCTTGTTACTTGACAGTTCTTTCTTTCTTTCTTTCTTTCTTTCTTTCTTTCTTTCTTTCTTTCTTTCTTTCTTCTCCTTTCCGCCCTTCCTTGTTACTTGACAGTTCTTTCTTTCTTTCTTTCTTTCTTTCTTTCTTTCTTTCTTTCTTTTTCTTCTCCTTTCCGCCCTTCCTTGTTACTTGACAGTTCTTTTTCTTTCTTTCTTTCTTTCTTTCTTTCTTTCTTTCTTTCTTCTCCTTTCCGCCCTTCCTTGTTACTTGACAGCTCTTTCTTTCTTTATTTCTTTCTTTCTTTCTTTCTTTCTTTCTTTCTTTCTTTCTTCTCCTTTCCGCCCTTCCTTGTTACTTGACAGTTCTTTCTTTTTTTTCTTTCTTTCTTTTTTCTTTCTTTCTTTTCTTTTTCTTTCTTTCTTTCTCCTTTCCGCCGTTCCTTGTTACTTGACAGCTCTTTCTTTCTTTCTTTCTTTCTTTCTTCTCCTTTCCGCCCTTCCTTGTTACTTGACAGTTCTTTCTTTCTTTTTTTCTTTCTTTCTTTTTTAATACTGTTCTCTTTTCCGCCCTTCATTGTTACTTGATGGCTCTTTCTTTCTTTCTTTCTTTCTTTCTTTCTTTCTTTCTTTCTTTCAGCTAGATTCGTTCCATTTCCTCGCCTTTTATTTTTCCTACCCTTTACTCTTTCTTCCTTAATTTACCTTCTTTGCTTTTCTTCTATTTCTTTTTTCTTCGTCTTTCTGTTACGCTAATCTCCATGCTTTTTTCTTGTTGTCTTCCCTCCGCCTTCGGAATTGCCTTTCTTTATTTCCTTCTTCATTCTTGCCGCTTCGTTCGTTACCCGTCCCCGCCCGTCAGTCTCCTTACATTTGCCTTCGGGCAAGACGTGGGTTGTTTCATGTTTTGGAACTCTAAGCAGATCAGATGAAAGACCGAAGTAATTGCTACGACGTAGCGACTGGGCGACTGGGGCCATAATCAAGTGTGTCGATGGTCTGAGTCAATATTCGCCTCAGTAAAACACGAAACAAGAGTCTAGTGAGTCTCGGCCAATAATCACAGTGAAGGCACGTAAAATAAGCAAAAAGAATGGGAAATATAAACGACTTTAAGAGATTAAATAGTAATGGTAATATTAGCCATTTCCTTATAAGGAAACATCTGACATTGAATTATTAACCAGCCATTGCTACAGTCGGTTGAAATATATAAGACCTTTCTCTTAAAACAGTTTTCCATGAAAATAGGATTCTCAAGTCCAATAGATGTTATAGATCTTTCCTGTACTGATGGAAGTTTCTTTCCTAACTTTTTGTTCAAAGTAGTGTGGAACGTTAACATACTGATTATTTTATTATTTTCTCTTCGAATTAAATGAGCTATGAGTTTTAGTTGCTGCTGCTGTTGAATGTCCTCAAGTTCTGTGGTTTTAGTCCTTTGACTATAGGTTTCAAGCTCGAAGTCGTTTTAATCATTGATCTGAGAAAGCTGACAGTTTAAATATTTCTGAACGAGTTTGGTATCATAACATTCATTTGAAATTCTCGACTTGACGAGGTTATCTGAGAACATCACTTGAGATTTTAAGTTAATGGTTTTGTAGCAACTGTCAGTATTGTGTGAAACTACGCCTAGCACAGCATATTATATATATTCATCTTTGAAATTAAATTTGTAATAAGTGTGTAATTAAAGATGAAAATGCTTGGATGAAGAAGAAACTTATAAGAAAAAGAAAGAAAGAATGAAAGACATTTAGAAGAGAAAAGAGACGAGAAGGAAATAGGAAAGAAACAAAGTTGAAAGGAGGAAAGAAAACTGAAGAAAATTATAAAAACAATGAATAAAGAAGAATGGTGAACAAGCTGAAGAAATTAATGTGTAAGAAACGTAAGATAAATATAATAAGTGAAAGTTCCAATTTATTTACACGGCGAGACAACAAATAGAGGGAGCACCGTGACACTGTTGGATGGAGCAAGTTTTCAGCTACCAGCACTGTTTTTTCTACATAGTCACCAATATTGGCTATGAATAATAAGAAAGAAAGAAAGAAAGAAAGAAAGAAAGAAAGAAAGAATAGTTAAAAACGATGTTGAGAAATGAAAGGATCGAAGCGAGAAATGGAGCCATAAGAAAAGAAGCAAAAGGAGTAATGAGAAAGAAGGAGGTAGAAAGGGAGAGAGTAAAATAGGAAGGAAGGAAGGAAGGAAGGAACGAACGAACGAACGAACGAATGAACGAAAGAAGGAATGAAGAAAGGAAGAAAGTAAGGAAAGAAGAAATGAAATAAGAAAGGAAGGAAGGAAGGAAGGAAGGAAGGAAGGAAAGAAGAAAGGAAGGAAGGAATGAAGGAAAGAAGAAAGGAAGGAAGGAAAGAAGAAAGGAAGGAAGGAAGGAAGAAAGGAAGGAAGGAACGAAGGAAAGAAGAAAGGAAGGAAGGAAAGAAGGAAGGAAGGAAGGAACGAAAGAAGGAGGAAGGAACGAAGGAAGGAAGGAAGAAAGGAAGGAAGGAAGCAAAGACAATTGAAAGAACAATACAATAAGGAAAACCAATTGATACTAATGAAGGGTGGAAGGGGGGGATGAAAAGGGCAGAGAAGGAAAAACCAAAGTAGTAAGAAAGAAAGAAACGAAAAGATAAAAAAAAGAAAGGTGGAAATAAAGAAGGTTCGGTGGAAGAGAGCGAGAGAGAGAGAGAGAGAGAGAGAGAGAGAGAGAGAAATGAGTGCTAATGTATAAAATAAATGTATCTTGCATTTTACACAAATCAACGTTTTCTGACAACAAAAGGCAGCTAAGTCCGATTCGGCTAGGCTGTAATAGCCATCTGTAAGCTAAAAAACGGATAATAAACAATTCAGTGTGGATTTAATGTGCTATGGCAATTCTGGGTTTATACAATCATTTAAAAAACATTCAACTTATCGCTGATTTTGTTTCTAACCAGCTTAAAACATGCATTATTCACATTATTCGGACTGTTATCCTCATCTTCATTGCCATATTCACATTTCGGCCTCTATATCTCTGAGATGAAGTATTATAATTACTTGCATTATTTAATTCGGCAATGAAGATGAGGATAACAGTCCGAATAAAGTAAATAATGCAAGTAATCATAATACTTTATCTCAGAGATATAGAGGCCGAAACGTTGTGAATATGGCAATGAAGATGAGGATAACAGTCCGAATAATGTAAATAATGCAAGTAATCATAATACCTCATCTCAGAGATACAGAATCCAAAAGGTTGTGAATATGGCAATGAAGATGAGTATGACAATCCGAATAATTTAAATAAAGGAAGTAATCATAATACCTCATCTCAAAGATATAGAGGCGGAAACGTTGTGAATATGGCAATGAAGATGAGGATTACAATACGAATAATGTAAATAATGCAAGTAATTATAATACCTCATCTCAGAGATATAGACAGCTCAAAACAGTTCACATCTCTACGTGACTGGCGTGTGTTATATCCTCTGATGTCAAGTTGCACAAAAAGAGAATTTGTGGATAGTGTAATGGGTAACGGCACAAAATGAGAAATTGGAGCGCCGAGTTCGAATTCCACTCGAGTTTGTTATGTTCACTTACGCGCTATTACTTTTGGCAAAGTTATGAATCCACCTCTAACTCCCCACCATCCGCTATGGGTTAAATAATAGGATTTGTATAAGAAAATCATTATCATCTCCAAAACAATTCTTACAATTCAAAAATATGTTGTGGCATTAAATAACCTGCAATGAGCTAATAAACCGTAAAAATTCAATGCACAAAGCGATATAAAACAAATTACAACGGAAAAGAAAGCGTTAGAAAGGCTGTGAAGTGTACCAAAGGAAAAATATAAAAGCAAAGGTTTACAAAACTGTGTAAAAATTGGTTGGATGCAGACAGAGGAAAAGAAAGGGAAAAAAAAGTTAATGTGAGGCTAATAGGTTCATTAGGCAAAACAAATGCACACGTCTCTCCCCGTCTCAATCTCCAATACACCTGTCCCCCGTCAGAAGCGAAAACAATCTTGAATGACTAGACCATGCTTTTATGCACCTGACCCAGCCATCGCTTCACCGTGCGTCAGAGGCTCGCCGATTCGCCGTCTTCACACTCCCTTGCAAAACATACACCCGACTCTGGCCCTTTTGGTTCGCCGAGGGTAGTCACCGCTACAAAAAACATCGTGCTGTCTACTCCCCTTCATGGAGCCGAATCTTTTGTCATCTATCACCAATCATTTCACCTTTTACCTCAGCATCTTCCTCAAAGAGTAATAACTTCATTACAAGCAAGTCCTCAAGACAGCCAGTACGGCAAACGTTGAAGTTAAGGATAAGCCATATGACAAGGGTGGTAGAATTATTTACATTATTCGGACTACTGTCCTCTTCTTTGTCGCCATATTTATTACAACATTGTACGCTCAGGCCTTCTTCAGGTGGTTGGAATGTCGAACTTAACCCTTTATTTCGCTCACTGGGGTAGACTGTTCTAGTCCCACGTGCCATGTTTAATGGATGTCAGTTATCAGTTATCTCCTGGTAATTTCCCTCTGAAAGTTCCCCACTTCTTTAACTGGGTATTGAACTAACTTTTTGGACGTCATTTCATATGAACTACATTCACCTTTTATTTAGTCTTGTCACAGTTTTATCATTTTTATGCATTGAGATCCGTTGCCTAACCTCTTATTTATATTACGCCAGATTTTACAAGTAGATGAAAATACTGATGATGGGAACACAGGTTTTAATGTTACACAGGCACAGACATATATATTAAGAACAATTAAAAACTGAGTAGTGAGTTCGATCCTCACTAGATGTCCCAAACATTCGTGCTACGCTTAGAAAATCATGGGCACCTCGACGTGGGGTAATTATTAGCAAGCTTGTCTCGCTAGGACAATTACGACTGAGTAGCGAGCTCGATATCACCGTTCCCCATATATATATATATATATATATATATATATATATATATATATATATATATATATACAATATATATATATATACATGAATTATTCATACAAAACTAATGCAAAGGTTAATGATTTAAATAGAGACATCCATCTTGCAAACGATTCAAATAGTACACAAAAACCTCTAAATCCGTTATGCATGAGTTGATCCTTGTTTATATAAATTTCTGCCGTATTAGTTGTTATTTTTTACTACAAGCTTTCGTCTGTTTTGAACATCGTCAGGTATATAATAGATGTTGTTCTTGGTTTTTCTCTTAGTAATAAGAGGACATCGAAAATATATTGTATTGTATTTAAAAATGAGTTATTGGTTTTTGAACGCGCCAAAGCAACGCTGAGTTTGATTTTGAATTTTTTAAAATGTCTGCGTCTATACCAAATATGGTAATGAACAAATGTATTTACTGGTAAATTTTTTTACTGTCAAAGTGGCATGAACTTATATTCAAAAAAAAAATTCAAAATCAAACTCAGCGTTGCTTTGGCGCGTTCAAAAACCAATAACTCATTTTTAATAGCATTTCGGATACAATACACATATATTTTCGATGTCCTCTTATTACTAAGAGAAAAAACCAAGAACAACATCTATTATATACCTGACGATGTCTAGGAACAGACGAAAGCTTGTAGTAAAAATAACAACTAATACAGCAGAAATTTATATAAACAAGGATCAACTCATGCATAACGGATTTAGAGGTTTTTGTGTACTATTTGAATCGTTTGCAAGATGGATGTCTTGCCATTTAAATCATTAACCTTTGCATTAGTTTTGTATGAATAATTCATGTATTTGTAAATTGATTGCACGTTTATTGTAATATATATATATATATACTCTATATATATATATATATATATATATATATATATATATATATATACCTATATATATATATATATATATATATATATATATGCCTCTCTCCCTCTTATATATATATATATATATGTATATAAATAAAAAAGAAAAAAACAGTAAGATATAAAATCCGGTGTTCTTATAGATATTTTTATTTTTACAAAATAGTGCTGAATGTAAATTTACAGAGCATTAATATTATAAATTAATTGATTTAAAATATGTTTTTTTTTCGCTACACAGTTCCAACCATGTTTCAAAAATAGAAGCTAAAAACCCTGAATTTAATTTTGCAATTAAATTAAAAGCATTAGTTCCATTTCATCTTCAAGCGAATATATATATATATATATATATATATATATATATATATATATATATATATATATATATATATATATATAAAGCCAAACTTTCCCCTGACGATCCGTTTAGGTGAAACCTAGGTAGGTTTGTCTGGCTCACTAGGTGTATCTAGGTCTGCTCTACGGTTGTATTGAGCTTTTTTTGTTAGTTAGTTGTTACTCGTATCGGGGTTTTTTCTTTTGGGCTTCAGACCTGCATCTGTGCGATTTTTTGTCGGCAGAAGTTCATGTTTGTAGCTCTTTCTTTTTTAAAACCTTTTTTCCCTCGAGATTGATTTGATTATCAAATCAAAAATTCGATGGTTTTTCGAAACGAGTCTAGTTATCTATATATATATATATATATATATATATATATATATATATATATATATATATATATATATATATATATATATATATATATATATTTGATGAAATATATTCTTACGGTGTGCTATATTTATTGGAAAAAGTGCTAAATATCAGAGATAGAGTGTGTAAATATAAAAGTGAACATTGAAGTGAATACTTAGAGGCAACAGGTTGTTTCATGCTAGACGCAATCGTCAGGCCATATATATATATATATATATATATATATATATATATATATATATATATATATGCTATTTACATTGTTGGGACTGTTGTCCGTATCCTTTCCATATTCACGACGTTTCGGCCATCTTCAGATGATTCTAATTTAGATTCGAACCCTTTATTTCATCCATCGGGGTATATTGTTCCTAGTTCCACATGTGCCGGAGAGTACTACGGCCGACACATCGTGAATATGACAACAAAAATGAAGACAACAGTCTGAACAATGCGAATAGTGCAAATAAATTTCATACCTCATCTCAATATATATATATATTATGAAATGGATAAAGTGCGACAATTATTTTTTAACACATTTTTTATGCTTATACGTTCTTTTTATAGATACAAATATTTAAGTAAATGCTCTGTTTATAATAAACAATATTAACAACATTTACCGGCTGTAATACCCAAGAAATTTTCATAGAAAATATGCGTCCTCCGACAGGAATCAAACCTGTATCCTATACAAAACCGTCATATAGCCTGACGTGCCTCAACCGATTGGGCCACAGAGGAGCATTTCCGTTAGCAAGGTCGATTTTACGGTTTTTAAAAACAATTCTCCATGATTTTAAAAATAGTAAAATCGACCTTGCTTTACTGAAACGCTCCCCTGTGGCTCAATCGTTAAAACCACGTCAGACTATATGACGGTTTCGTAAAGGATACAGGTTCAATTTCTGTCGGAGGACGCATATTTTCTATGGAAATTTCTCGGACATTCAGGCCGGTAAATGTTAATAAGTTTATTATAAACAGAGCATTTATATCTATAAAAAGAACGTATAAACATAAAAAAATGTCGTGTATATATATATATATATATAAACACGAAAGTATCTGCACAATTGCTTATAGTTATTCATATTTGCGCAACACGAAATGAACTCTAAGCATCTGACAATGTTTATCCAATGAGAGGAATGAGTGAAAATAATTGTAGA